TGTGCCTTTTCTGTGCGAGTAGGGAAGGCTTCCACCCCAGCCTGAGAAAGCGCACACAAAGACCAACAGATATTTACGGCCCCGAGCCCGGGGGAGCTCCGTGAAGTCCACCATCACATTTTCAACTGGGGCTCCCCCGACACTCTGCACCTCGGGAGTGGCCTTGGGTCCCTGATGTGGATTATTCCGGGCACACGTTTCACATTGCTCATATACCGCCCGGGCTATGCTGGAGAGTCGAGGGAGGTAGAAATATTGGCTCCACATTGTCTCAAGGGCCGTCCGGCCAATGTGAGTTTCCTGATGGAACCGCTTGACAAAGGCTGGGACCAGGGTCTCAGGAATTGCTATCTGCCCGTCTCAAATTTCCACCATCCACCTGGGAGGTAGCTTCCATTTTCAGTCTTAAACCACATACTTTCGTGGGGTGAGTAATTAGGGTCCCATTCCGCCAACGGGTTAAGCAACAGTGCAGCGGTTAAAGCTGCTGATTCCACTGCTCCTTTGGAAGCTGCTAGCTTCGCCTCTTGGTCTGCCTTACAGTTTCCCCGTGCAGCCGTGGTGTCTCCCCATTAATGTCCCCGGCGATGCATGACTGCCACACTTTCAGGGGCCCACATAGTGTCTAAGAGTTCAGGGATTTTCTAACCATATTTTATGTCCTTCCGTCCTGAGTTTACTGGACCCTTCTCTTTATCTAAGGCCCTATGGACATGGAGGGTGGTGAAGGCATATTTAGAGTCTGTGTATATATTAACACATATCCCTGCCGCCAGTGGGAGGGCACGGGTTAGCGCAATTAGCTCTGCCTTTTGCACCCAAGTCCCCTTCGGCAGGGGCTCTGCTTCAATGACAGAATTCAGGGTCACCACAGAATAACTTGCAAGACGCTCTCCCCTCTTTACAAAACTGCTATCATCAGTGAAATGTTCAGTGTCGGCGTCTTTGAGGGGCTGATCCCTCAAGTCTCCCTCAAGTGGAGAACACCTTATCCATGACTGCAATGCAGTCAAGGTCTGGCTGGCCCGGCCCGACAGGCAGTAGGGTTGTGGGGTTCAGGGTTCGCACTACATCTGGGTGAACGTGTGGCTTCTCACATAGCATTCCCTGATATATGACCATCCCAGCGTTGGTTAGCCAGTATTGTCCCTTTTACTCCACTAACGTCAATACTGAATGTGGCACTCAGACTGTCAATTCCTGTCTCATAGTTAACTTGTCAGCCTTCAGATACCAGGAGGGCCATGGCTTCCGGTGCCCGTAGGCCGGGGAGGGGGGCGGGGCCGGCCTTGGGCCAGTGAGTCAAGTTGCTTGGAGAGATATGCCACCGGGTGATGCCATGACTCCCAACAACCGAGTTAGGACTCCCCCTGCAATACCAGCCAATACAGACACACAGAAAGAAAGGCTTGGTCGTGTCTGGGAGCCCTAAACCAGGTGCATTAGTAAGGGCTCGCTTTATTTCCTCGAAGGCCTTCTGCTGTACGGATTCCCACATCAGGGGCTCCCTCTCTCCCCCCCTCACAGAGGGGTTTTGCCAGGACTGAAAAGTTAAGGTATCCCGATCCTTCAGAAACGTGCAGCCCGAGAAACTCCTGGACCTGGCACCAGGGTTCGGGGCCGGGATCGAGCAGATGGCCTGCTTCCTCTCTGGGCCGAGCTGGCACTGCCCCCGGGACAGGTGGAAGCCAAGATATTTCACCTTTTCCTGACAGACTTGGGCCTTTTGCCTCAAGACCCTGTAACTGGCTTTCCATAGGAGGGCAAGGAGCTGCTGAGTCCCTTCCATGCAGCCCTCCCGGGACCTTCCAGCCAGCACGTCGTCCACGTACTGAAGCGGGACAGTCATGCCGATCTGCGGGGAAGGCTTCCAAGTGAGAGGCAAATGCAGTGCTGGAAACGGTTGGGGAGTTTTTGAAACCCTGAGGCAACCTGGTCGAAGTTAATTGGCCCGTGTCGCCATTTTCAGGATCCTCCCATCGGAAGGCAAAGATCAGCTGGCTCTGGGGGGCCAGGTGGATGCAGAAAAAGGCATCCTTGAGGTCCAAACAGGGCAAGAAGGTGGCTTCAGCAGGAATGAGCCCCGGAAGTGTAGAGGGGCTTGGGACCACTGGGTGTATGGTGACAGTTACCTGGTTGACTGCCTGCAGGTGCTGAACCAGCCGGGAGTCATGTGTGCCTGGATTTTGGACAGGCAAGAGGGGCGTGTTCCAAGGTGACTGGCACGGCCGGAGGATCCCATACTTTAAAAGTCTCTCCAGCTGTTTTTGGATCCCGATCTGTGCCTTGCGAGGGATAAAGTATGGTCTCTGTTGGGTGAGCTCTGCCTCGACTTCAGTTCCACAACCACAGGTGGTATGTTTCAGGCCAGGCCTCGTGGGTTGCCTTCAGCCCACACTCCTGGGATCTTCGAGGGAAGCTCAGGCACCGGTTGTGGTTCCTCCTTGAGACTGCAGAGACGCCACTCTTCCCCTTGAGGAATCGTGAGAGTCACAATCTTTGCTTCCGGTTTCCGTAGGGTCAGGGCAGCCTGTCCCCGAGACTGGAAAGTTATCTGGGACTGCAGCCTTCCCAACAGGTCACGGCCCATTAGAGCCACGGGGCAGTCGGGGAGGTAGAGGAATTCATGGATGACTTCATGGCCAACTAAACTGCATCGTTGAGGCAGCAGGAAGGGACAGTGCGTCCGACTACCTGTGGCCCCCACAATGGTGGCTTGTCTCTGTGAGAGGGGTCCACGGGTTGGGTCACTACTGAGTGTTCTGCTCCAGTAGCCACCATAAAGTCAATGGGTTGCCCCCCCCCCCCATTCATTCAGACCATGGACTCCTGGGGGCCTAACAAAATAGAGCCCGGTCTGTCCTGGTCCTCCTCGGTGGCTAGCCCCACAAAGTTGTCTTCGGGGGCCCCATGAGGCCTTGGGGCCCGTTGGTACCAGGCCTGGACCACATGGCCTCTTTCTTTCTGCTTGGGGGCTTTGCTGAGAATGGTCTGGTCTCTGGGGACACTCAGTTTTCCAGTGGCCCTCCTGACAGCAATAAGTACACTGATTCCACCCTAATTTTGGCCTGGCGGGAGGCCTTTCCCGCTGGTCCCCTTTCTGGCTTTGACCCTTTCCCTGCAGGGCACCTTTCCGGGAGCATTCTGACCGCTCCACCGAGGCGGCAGCTAACGAGCCTGCCTGTTTCGCATCTTTCTGCGTTCTTTCCCCTGTGCTGCCTGGTGACAGTTCACCAACACCTGGGTTGCTACTTCTAGCAACTGACTGGCATTCACGCCGGTGAAACCTCCCAGTTTTTGCAGCTCGCGCCAAATGTCCCCCTGGTCCCGACCTACGAAAGCTGCATGAACCATCTGCTGGTGAGTGGGCACTTCGGGATCAGGCGAGTATAGAGACGAAATGCCACACGCAGTCTCTCATAAACGGTCTCAGGCTTTCCTCAGGCCCCCTGGAGCACTTCTGATGTTTTACTCACATTTATGGCCTTCCCCCCCCCCCCCCCCCCCGCTTTCCAAGGGCTTCTGGATACCATTCAGTCCTTGCAAATCCTCCATCTATACTTGAGTCATTGGGTCCCATTTGGGGTCCTCCTCAGGGAAGTGAGCCCGAGCACAGGCCCGGGGATCTAGTGTCCCAGCTGGGGCATTCTCCTCTAACCATTTTAGGGCTGCCTGGGTAATCCAGCAACATTCCTCCGTTATCGAAGAGGGTCAGAAGTTGGTGGCAGTCACCCAGGTAGGTTTGTGGGTTTGAATTATGGACCGCATTAGCTCAATCATAGCCTGGGCTTTCTCCGTATAGGAGGGTATGGTGCTTCCAATTTAGGAGGTCCGTAGTGGTAAAGGGTTGGTACACAAAAACACGCTGGCCTCCTTGGATCTGGCCTTCCTGGTTTCCCTCAGTGGCATCAGTAGGGCTCCCTGCTGTGGCTACAGGGAGGGACCACCTCCGCTGGTCTGATTCTCTAGTCACCTTCCAGGAGGCATATGTGGTTTTAAGACTGGTGGTCTGGGTGAGTCAGTCACGTTCGGGGAGGCCAGTGGAGCTAGGGGTGGTGAGGTCTCGAGACTAAGGGCAGACTCTGATGGGGTTTCGGCAGCTAGAGTGGCTGAAGGCACAGGTGGCAGTGAGATGTCCAGTGGGACATATGGTGGTGGGGTTTCTTCAGGTTCTCCCGACAGTATGGGCTTTTTAATTTCTGGCCGGTACTTGGAGGAAGCTGTGACGCGAGCCATCCTAACTTTAAAGCTCTTTTCAATACAGAGTTTTTCAGCCAAGGTGGCCGGGACAGGACCAGGTCTTGCCAACAGTCAATGTAAGGAAATTGGTCTGGGTGGCCTGGGTCCCCCGCAATGACCCTCAACACTCAGCCAACTAGTTCCTTATCAAGTGAGCCCTCAGAGAGCCAGCCTGCCCCAAATGACAGCCAATCAATTTCACAGAATGTCCAGAGCTTTCCAGGAGTTAATTTCACACCATAATTTCCTGAATATCCCTCTTTGAAATTCCTCAACATACACTCTAGGGCAGTTGGTTTACCCTGCTTTCCACCCATTTCCTCCCCCATCAGATGACTTTCATGCATACAAGGGGGAAAAACGAGGAAGGTGGGGGACCAGTTTGGAGAGGACACACACTCGCTTTGTCCATTTCCGGCCATTCTCCTCTCAGAGATATTTCGGGAGCCTCTTAGCATTGGCGGGCTCAGTTTCAATCCGTGATACGGATCACGCTCCCAAGGAAGTCTGATGCCGCCTTAAGCCATATGAGGTCACCAAGGAACCGCGGATCAAGACTCAACACTGACCCTTGGTCAGGTCAGAACCTTTCTGTTGTCCGTCTCATTCACACATCGACTCCAACCCACCACCCTACATTCAGCGCGTTAGAGTTGTGGCTTCGTTCCTCGTCGCTGTGGAACTAGGGCAACTCTGGGAGGTGACCAGGCTCCCCTTCTGCCTCTTAGGGGCAGGTCTGCCAAAATGAACCCGGTTCTTACCAGTCTGATGGGCGGCTCTCCTTAAGCTGGTTCCTGGGCCTCACGGGTTCCGTTGGCGCACACGGGTTCTGTAGCTGCACACGGGGTCCTCGCCCCGGCACACCGGGAGGGCTCATCTCCTAAAGACCAAGCAGTCCTTCAGCGCCAGGCAAGGCCACGTCTCCTGGCACTCAGAGGTTTGTACCCTGGCGGCAAAGGAGGTGGATACGCACCGTCTCTGAATCCCGGACACGAGCCCCCATGTAATGTAGCAGGATTCTCGCACAGAGTTGTGACACTGAGGCTTTTCTTTCCAGAAAACAACTTTATTCCTGCCAGCACCGCTCAGTTGGGTTCGTCCCTGAAGAACTGAGCACCAAATGCCATGTGGCATAGTTTTTTATACATTTTCGACCTCTTTGCCTGCCATATATGGTAACGCAGAAACATGTGGTCTCATTAGGCGGTCTCCTGTTACGGGGTTGTGAGGGATTTCATGTCCACGTACAGCCAGGTTGCCTTCCTTTATTTTGAAGGTTTTGTTTCTTCCACATTGCTTAGGGAAGGGACCCTACCTCAAGAACACCCCAGTGATTTCCACTCGGATATCTGTAGTTAAGATGACTATTGCTCTCCAAAGATAATGGGTTCGAATCCCTAAAACATTTGTTACCTTATCTGGAAAAAGGGTCTTTGCACACCAGATTCGATTAAGGATTCTGAGATGCAGACGGCAGCCTCCATTCTCCAGGTGGGCCCCAGAGGCAATCAGGGTGACCTTCTAAGAGAGCGACAGAGGGAGACAGGACGTAGGCACAGGAGGAGGCTGGGTGACCACAAAGGCAAAAGTTGGCCTGATCCAGTCATTCAGCCCAGAATGCCAGCAGCCACCAGACACTCGAAGGGACCAGGGAACAGATTCTCTCCTAGAGCCTCCAGAGGGGGTGTGGCCTGCGGACACCTAGATTTCAGACTTCTGGCTTCCAGGAAGGAAAAAAACATGGTCTTCAGCAGTTTATGGTAACTTACTACCATAGCCTTAGAAAACCTACACGGCATCCCAAAGGCATTTCAAATTTCAACCTGCCCAAAGGAAACTCCTTACGGCCTACCCTCACCTACTCTCCAGCCACCAGACTCGGTTATTTCAGCCAGAAGCCCAGAGCTGCTTATACTTCCTCACTCACCCTACCCTGTACGCACACCCCTGGGATGGGGAGTGGAGTCTCGGGACACACTCAAAAGGAGCAAGACTGGGAAGCTTCTGTACTCGTCCACAGCGTTTCAGCATTCAGTCCTAACGCGTTTAGCTTCCCTGTAAAGAACACTCCTCTGCTCACACGAGCAAAGGAATACAACTCTTTATCTAGGAGTTGTATTAATTCCTTTTGTTTTTCTTCTCTACTTTGGTTTCTCTCCTGCTAGAACTGCTGCAATTAAGAGTCATTTTGCACATAATGGTGCACTAATTTCTTTTTTCTATCGTATTTTCTTCATTAGCCAGAGTTAATACTTCCTATTTCCTGCATCCTTTCCATTCCTTAGCGACCTCTCCCCAGTACTGGGCAAGTTAAAAGTGCTCAAGAAGGACTTGTTGGCTACTTTATAAAAAAAATAAAAAGTGGAAAACAGCCAATGGCTTTCTACAACTGCATTTAAAAAAGAATTTTTTTAAGGGGCGCCTGGGTGGCTCAGTCGGTTAAGCGTCTGACTTCAGCTCAGGTCATGCTCTCACGGTTTGTGAGTTCAAGCCCCGCATTGGGCTCTGTGCTGACAGCTCAGAGCCTGGAGCCTGCTTCAGATTCCGTCTCTCTCTTTCTCTCTGCCCCTCCCCTGCTCACACTCTGTCTCTCCCTCAAAAATGAATACACTTAAAAAAAAAAAATTAAAAAAATTTTTTAATGTTTAATTTTCAGAAAGAGAGATAGAGAGAGACAGAGTGGGAGCAGGGGAGGGGCAGAGAGAGAGGGAGACACAATCTGACGCAGGCTCCAGACTCAGCCGTCAGCACAGAGCCTGATGCGGGACTCCAACCCACGAGCAGGAACATCATGACCTGAGCCAAAGGTGGACATTCACCAGACGGGAGCCACCCAGGCGCCCCTAAAACTGCATTTTAAAAATGAACACTTTTAGGGGCACCTGGGTGGCTCAGCTGAGTCAGTGACCCACTCTTGATTTCAGCTCAGGACACGATTGGGGAGTTCGGGCCAGGCATGGAGCTCCACACTGTGACAGTACAGAGCCTGCTGGGGATTCTTTCTCTCCGTCTCTCTTTGCCCTTCCCCTGTGCTTGCTCTTAAATAAACTTAAAAAAATAAAAAAAAAAAAACACTTTAAAAATAATAGCTCTTTTTGAATACTCCCAATTTGAAAAGCATTGTTTTATATATATAATAAAAATCTTGGTTTGCAAGCATAATTCGTTTCGGAAACATGCTTGTAGCCTAAAGCACTTGTATATCAAAGCGAGTTTTCCCATAAGCAATAATGGAAACTCAGATGATTCGTTCTACAGCCCAAAAATATTCATACAAAAATGATTACAATACTGTAATATAATACAAAATAATAAAGAAAATACAAAATATAAAGAAATACAAATTACTTTTGAAAACCTTCATGGCCATGTGAAGGAGACAAGAGAGAGGAGGGTTACTGGGAGACTTTCACCATTAGTAACAGACATTGGCTACAGTACAATACTAATAAACTCTTGTCATGTACTGTATTTAATGTAACTGGCAATAAGGCAGCAGAGGAAAGGGTCTCTATCTGCAGACAGCCTGACCTACAACGAAGTAAAGGATTCCTAAGCTCGTTTTTGTATGGAAAAGCAAAGGACTTAGGTGCTTGAAGTGACAAAAAATACACCAATACCAGTTTTGGGCACCTTTCAACGTTCTGAAAAATCACTGATTTCTGCCAAACACCGTGGCCTGAGACTGAGCGTCTGAGCATGGGAGACAATCACCTTCAATCCTGCAGAGAGAGAGAGAGAGAGAGAGAGAGAGAGAGAGAGAGAGAACCATTGATTCAGTTGTGATTGTGGGATATTTGGAGTCATGTACTACTCGTATTGTAAGACATTGCTTGTTTATCAAGTTAAAACTTATTAGAAACAGTTGCTCATCTTGTGGAACACTTGTAGAACAAGTTATTTACAATGCAAGGTTTTACTGCACATATTTCTTAAAGATTAGCTATTAATTAAATCTCTAACATTTGGTTCAATTTGCCTTTTATTCATTAATTCATTCACTGATAAAAGTGTGTGTGTGTGTGTGTGTGTGTGTGTGTGTGTGTGTGTGTGTATTTAACCACCAGCCAGAAATGTGACCATTTACACATAACATTTGAAAGGACATATCTCAAGGGTGCCTGGGTGGCTCAGTGGATTAAGTGTCTGACTTGGGCTCAGGTCATGATCTCACAGTTCATGGGTTTGAGCCCCACGTTGGGCTCTGTGCTGATAGCTTGGAGCCTGGAGCCTGCTTCAGATTCTGTGTCTCCCTCTCTCTCTGCCCCTCCCCCAGTAGCGCTCGGTCTCTGTCTCTCAAAACTGAACAAATAAACAAAATTAAAGAACACGTCTCCAAGGTAACAGGATTGGAACTCAAGCAAACATAAATTAGTACCCAGTTTTATTAGGCAAAGTTTGCACATAGGATGCTTCAGACTTTTTCTTGTTTGGAGATCAAGGGAACCTCAAAAGGTGGCTCAGTGTCTAAAGGTCTTACAGAGAAGAGCCAGCTCCCTAGCTCAGTGCAAACTGCTGTCCAATACCCAACCCCAGCACTGGTCCCTGTGCATAGAAGAGCCTGAGTGTGAGTCCCCCTTGGGACGGGGCTCAGCAACCTCAAGCAGAGTTATTAAGCCCCTCTGGGGCTCAGTTTCTTCCTCTGTAAATTGGGGTGATGCATGCTCCAAGAAACTTTGGACTTGAGTCCATCTATGTAATGTGCTTGGTACAAAGCAGGTTCCCTGTGGATCGTGGCTACTATGTCTTAGTTGCTGTGGCTGCTTGCTTCCTCAACCAAAGGTGCTGGGTGCTAGAAGCCAACTCCCAATGTGGATTACATGAATGGGATAATGATGCCATGCACAGGTAGAGACCCCCCCCCCCCCCACAGAAGAGGAAATCTCTCCTCTAGAGATCTGTAGATGCTCCAACTAACAAGACCCAGGGTAAAATCCTTCTGAGGTGAGAGGGGGAGAAGTGGGGGTGCAGTTATGCAGATGCAGCATTCAGCTTTTGTCTCTGGGCCAAGATCTACAACTAAGTTAAATTCCAATGTTTGTAATAATAGCTGGTAGAAATCGAGAAGATGACAAATGGTGGTGAGGGGCAAAGTCACCGCGTCACTCTTTTCCTGTGGCTGCTCTCTTACCTGGACTGACTCTCCACCATCTGAATTCATAGGGACCCTAACTCAGGTACACAGTGGGTTAAGTAGAAAATGGCTACTACTGCCCTCTAAAAATTGCCACAGGTGTTCTGCAAAGCTTGACGGTACTAACCCACTACTTTGAAAGGTAAAGTTTTGGTACTCTATCCTCCACTACGTTTTATAATTACAAATCCTCGTGTCTTTTTAGAACCAAAGAACCCTAAAATAATTTGAACTCTATTTCATAAAAAGGATTAGCTATTGATGAAATCTCTGAAAGTTGGCTCGACTGGTCTTCTCTTCATTGATTGATTCATTCACTGTCAATAAAGTAAAAGAACTTTTATTTGTCAGTAATCTCCACACCCAACACGGGGCTGGAACTCACAACCCCGAGATTTAAGAGTCACATGCTGTATGGACTGAGCCGGCCAGACACCAAAAGAACGACCTCAAGTTTCACCTGTCTCTTCTCTATTAAAGGAAGCCTCAGATTTGAAAAAGTGGCATATACCTAGGGCTATTGAATGCTTAGATGTTGATGGGTCACAGGGTCATGTCTACAGGTCCAGGAGAACATAGGCTCATAAAGCCTATTTGTCCCTAGCTTTCTAACAGAAAAGCTAGATGCTAACAAATATATTCTGTCCTTAGAAAATCTGGCTGAGTTATGAGTTCTTAGAAAAGAAAACCATTACCATTGTAAGTCCACACTGGTTCAGTGTCATACTAAACTCTTCCAAAAAGGGTGCGAGGCTAATAAATTGGGGCAATGCCTTTCAGTCACAAGATACTGATGGTTTCCAAGATACATTATACTGTCTTATAACGATACAACGGACATGATACAGAAGTCTAGGTGTGATGGTAGATTTGCCCACCTATATAAACCCAAGACTGTCAACGAAAGGATTTATGAGGGTCTGGGAAGAGGGCATCTATCTCAAAGCAGGCCACACAGACTTGATCCAGTCCCTTCTGCTGTATTTATTAATGTCTATAGATAGAGCAGTCTTAGACCTATTCAAATAATGCTAAGCTGGGAGGAATGCCTAATGTGAAGATTAAGAAAAAACTCAGTAAAATTAAATTTACTAAGGATAAACGTCGACCTCCACCTAAGTTTGAGAATGAACAGTATAACCCGTTCAAGCGGTGGATAGGTCATCTGATTACATGATCAACATAAAATGTTAAAGATGACTTTGGCTGTGACTTACGGGACAATGAAATCTTGGTCTCTGCTTAGTGAATCTAGTGGCCTGAATTTCAGCCCTAGTTAACGGAGATTTAAGTTAATAATCACAGGGCAGGGCGGTGCGTTTTGAGACTAGGGAACTTCCAAAAACTCTACGTGCGTTTTTATGGCCCTTTGTCTTTCGGTGTCCCGATCCATCCACTTTTTAAATCAAACGTCTTAGCTGAAGATAATTACAGATTCACATTTAGTTGTAAAAAACAGTACAGGGACATCGTTTGCAACCTGCACCTCAGTCAGAACATTAACACTGATACAATCTGCCAAGCTCGGTTAGATTTCCTCAGCGTTGGTGCACCCCTGTGTCTATTTAGTTGTGTGCAATGTAATCATTTTGGGCAGGTTTGCACGACCGCTGCAGTCAAGGTACACTTGAGACGGATTCTAACAGGCACACACTCCTTACATCTCCCTTCACAAAGAAAAACTCCCCATTCCTCTAACTGGAGACATTCTGGACGTTACTTACGGGGCAGTAATCAGTGCCCAGAGCCAGAAGTGCGGAGTGAAGTTTGCACTCTTACTTCAGTTGCCTGGATGATACCCCAAACCATCAGTCACAGAATGGAAATCCCTCACTTGACCACTGAAGAAACTGAGACCACAGGTGAGGTTCCTGGTCTCTGCTCCACAGTGACAGAGACCCCTCACTCTTTCTGTCCAGTGGTCTCCGAGCTTGTCCTTGAGGTCTATTCCATCCCCACCTGCTGCAATTGAAGAGACAAGCGAGCACCAGCGTCCAGTGACGTAACTACAAATAAAATAAAAAGATTTTGTTTTTTGTTTGTTTT